GTCCACATTGCTCTAGAGCCTGTCTTGTGTGGGATTTCTCCTTCTGCCTGGCTCCTGAGCTAGTGGGGACGCTGTCTGCTCTGTGATACAGAGTCCTGATGACTCCTAACTAGTGATCCAAAGGGTGATGGGAGTCAAACTGCAAATATTGGTCTGTGTGGGTGGGTTTGCGGTACACCTCAGTTTGCAAATGTCCTCTATCAGAGACTGAGACCTCACAGTCCAAGAAAGCCAACTTGCCATTTTTTTCATCTTCTCGTGTGAACTTGATGTATTTATCCACAGAGTTGATGTGGTCAATAAAATGTTGGACTTCCTGGGTTAAAATTAAATCTCAGGAAGTCCAACATTTTACAGACCCCACCCCAACTGTAGAAAAACAACTGTACTAAGTGTGTTTGTGAACTAGAATGAAAAACTGCAAAAGACAGATAAATCCAGAAAACAGAGACGACTCGAGCAAACAATTCACTCGAGCTACCAACAGCCAAACAGGAAATGATACAATATGACTCACCACAAATGTGCAACGTCACCAGCTCCATCAAAAAAAAACTGGCAGCCAAGCACATTTATGAACATGTTACATATGCATTTGACAACGAGGCAGTCCATGAAGCACTAACAGATGGTCTATTGTCCTGATAAGATGAAGGTCAGCTGGCACAGTTCTGATATGCCTCCACAGAAGATGGGGGGGGGGGGGGGCGCTGCAATAGACAAAGCTTTTCCTTCGTTTACACATTTTCCAGGAGAAATTGATAAATTGGCCTGTTTCTAGGCCAACCAGGGAGTCAGATTCAGATAACGACAATTGTTGATTTATTCAGTCAGACTATTTTTCCTTGTCAGCCTTGAGACCATACCGATACTTCCAAGGTCTCAAATGGCCAGATTAGGGTGCATTCTACTGGTCCATGCTTACGAGCCTCTTAAAGGTCGTTTTCATGCTGAGGAGTCCCACAGCCGCAGGTGGCCTGCGATTCAAATCACTTCCATCTTATGGTTTAGCTTGTAAATCAGCTAATTTTGAGTCTTCAAAGCACAAACCAAACCTTCACATAGGCAGCAGCCTGACGAGGGCCAAATTAGCTGAGGTTGTCTTCTTTGTATGTTGATAAACCAGGATCCAGACTATTCCAAAAACAGGAAACCAGTTATCATAAATCCAATTATATGCATTTCAGCGTCCTCGATCGACAGCAGTGGTAGACACATCACATTCCACTTCTCCAGAGATATATCCAGCTGCACGTGTCGTCGGAGCAGATCAGTGTTCTCCAGGACCCTGTCGCTTTGTTGAAAAGATTTTGTCAATTGCATCAAAAGTCCAGTTTGTCAGATCCAAAACAGTAGTTTTCATTTTGGAAGATGTGTAAAAATAGGAGCTGCTCCGATACACAGACAGAGAGCAAAAAAGCAGGAGGAGAACAAGGAGAGAGGGATGAGAATGCGTGTGCCTCGTTACAGAGCTAGTGAGGAAAAATTATTAATTATTTAGTGTAATAAAATCAATAAGAAAGTATTGTCTTTGACTTAAAATTTCTGTTTGGGATTATTTTTGCATTTGAAACCAAAGCAGGAAAAGAAAAAAAGAAACAGTGGATCATAACGTTTTCACGTCATTTGGAGGGTTTTTTTCTCCTTAAATCTCTTTCACGGTCGCGTGTGTGTGTCATTTAATCGTGCGCGTTATACGGTTGCGCACGTGTGTCATACGGTCTCGCGTGCGGGTCTGTATGTCCTTCTTTTGTCCAGTATGGCTAATCATAGAAGAGGAGCCTCTGGATGATGTGTGTGTGTGTGTGGGGGGGGGGGGGGGGTGAGGACGGAGGGACAGATGGTCACATTTACGCATGGAGGTGCTGCAGCGGAGTCCTCTCCAAACAATGTCCCTCTTCAGCGGCACCGGCGCTGCGCATTGAAAAACACCCCCTCTTCCCTCCGCTCAGACCGCCCCACCACATAAGGAAAGTGGGAGGGATGCATCTCACATGAAGCTACTGAAGTGATCCGTTCAACAGCATGTTGCTTCTGCAGAAACAATTATTTATTCAACAGAATAAATAAATGCCCTGCAGACAGTGCACCACAAGTGAAAATAAAATACACTTAATATGTACAGCGTCTCCAGACAGCTCTACACAGTGCGCACACAACTGCTGATGTGAACTCCTGCTACATTTCAGACATAAAAAATTTAAAAAAGCTTACTGTAAAAAAGAAATCAAAAATACAACGAGAAAAATATTTGATGTGTTATTCACATCACATTTCAAAACAACGGCATTAATTTGTCAAAATAACAACAGCGGATCAAAATGTCAAAAAGACAGTCCAATTCATTTTAATAAAAAATGGATGGATGTCCTTAGTTGGACAACTGAGAATTGAAGCCTTCGGGTGCTTCAAACAGTGCCACTTGGAGCAGGAACAACAAATTCAGACAAGAGTTCAGCTCAGAACTGTGAAGTGAGGGGAGGAGGAGGGGGATTAGGGCACCTGACAGAATCGAAGCTGCTCTATTCACACACAACCTGCTGTTGCTCTCCAAAATAGAAATTTAATAAAAATGTAGGTAAATGTAGATGTTAACGGGTTCTTAATACACCAGAATGCAGGAAATGGCACCTCTGTTGTTCCAAATTTTCTGTGGGAGGACCCACCAACACCCCGCCCCACCCCTCCCCCATCCCGCTGTTCCGGCATCAATCAGTTTACAAATTAAACCCTGACAACATGGGTTTTTAAATCCCACATTAGAAGGTTTCCCTGAATGCTGAGAGATACAGCTATGTGAAGTGTTGTGTCTCATCCACAATTCCATTTCATACCCTGAGCAGGTCGATTTTGTATGTTGGAGTAAGAGTCAACAAAGCTGTCCGTGTCCTCCGGTGCAAAGATGCTAGGCTGAATGAAGCTTAGTAGGGAGTAGAGCTCCTGCAGGTTGTTCTGAACAGGAGTCCCTGTCAACAGGACTCTGAAACAAACAGAGAACTAGCAAAAAAAAAAAAAATACTTAAAACAACAAAAGTAAGAGATACAGCAAAAGAAATACAAATGTTCAAAGCACATTTTAATACCGTTGTTAAAGTTTTGTGCAACAAGGAGTTTTGATTCTTCAGCCTGTGGGCTTCATCAACAACAAGAACCTCCCAGTTCCACCTGAAGAGCAGAGTTAACAAGCACAAATTACATGGGAAAAAATGTGATAATACAATTTTTATTGTTTAAAATCCTAAAGCATAAATACTAATATCGAAACTAGTGAAACAATGGGTTAAAAAATATATCCACTGCATTTTTTCTGCTTTGTTTAAAACCTGGAGTTTATCATGCCCTAGTCAAAAAAGGAAATACTGTGCAAAGCCATTGTTTGCCGCCATTCCAGCATCAAATGTCTTCAGGTTTGTCCTTTATATTGGAGGGGTGCTGACTGTGTCCAGATATCAACAATCAATCAAACCAAGGATTCTCAAATTGGACTAAGGACTAGGATTAAGGTTTGGGATTAGGGTATTCCAGAACATTAAACTGTTTGTCCTTAAATATGTGGAGAGTTCCTTCATTACTGTGTTTACGGTTATTATTTTGTTGGAAGGGACACTTCTGTCCTAGTCTCCACCCACTAGAAATGCTTATATGCTTATACACACACACACACACACACACACACATACACATAAATATATATGTGTGTGTGTGTGGGGGGGTGTATATATGTATATTCAGGTCTCTCTTGCAAATGAGTCCCCGAGGCTCAATGGGATTAGCTTGTCTAAATTAGGGGTTGAATAACTACATAATTTTTAAACTCGACATTAACATAATAAAACTCGTGTAGAACTCGAGTATTTGATAACATCATAGGATCTAAAGATACAAAAATAAATAAATAAAATTGCAAAAAAGGTCATTATTTACTAAAAAAGACCAACAAAACATTGGGAGCATATATTATGTTCCTACCATTTATCAAACTGCAAATAAGTCACAGGAAAAACTAAACTATTAGTTATTATTATTATTATTATTATTAAGTTGCAAACGAGAAAGAAACGTGTAGCACATCAAAAACGAAACTAAAACCAGTGGAGCGGTCGACCACCCTGCACCACCGCCAGCTGTGGTGCTCATTAGGTTTAGTTTTAGAGATTAATATGTTTATAGGTTTTTATAGGTTTAGAGATTAATATTTTTTGCTTTTTGTTTGTGAAACAAGGTCAGAGGAAGCTGGTTCTGGTTCGGTCATTGGACCCGGTGTTACACCATATTCTGTGACCTACAACAGTGCATGCAACACCGCCCCCTACGGTCACAATATACGGTGATCACAGAATATGGTATAACACCGGTTTGCAACAAGCTCCAAACAGTCAGGAAGTTGATTCATTTTCTGTTTCCTTACGGTAGTTGAACTGGAAGATTTATCTTTAGTGAAATATTTCCAGACTATTGATGTTTTTCTACCTGTTTGCCAAGACTGGGCCTGCTCCGCTCCATCCGTCTGCTTGGAGGAATTCATTTTATAAGCCGCACCCGGTGCGGATCACGTGACGCGTGGCACAATGACGTAACGGCGACGTAATGACGTCACCACGAATACTCAACGTGAAATAAAAAAAAACTCGATAGATGTCCTAGGAATCGATGTTTAGATTACTTGAGTAGTCTGTTAAAGCCCTAGTCTAAATAAAGGTTGAATAAATATATATATATATATATATATATATAAATTCAAGGCTGGAAGGAAATAAAATAGAAAAATAACAAGAAAACCAATATCACTTATGAACTGCACGAGCATGTGTTTGACTTTTATAGTAATTTGTTTTAAATGCCTTTTTTCACAACCTGCAGTGTGTCTGAGCACAATGTGATTGGTTGGTGTCTTTTATCAGTCATACTGTAACAAAAAATACCAAAGACTTAAAAGTCTCTGATGAGAGTCGGAGCCTGCTCACCTTTTCAAGAATAAGGCGTCTTTGAGACACAGCTGGAAGCAAAATAAATAAATTAAATTCTGGATATTTTTTTAAATTAAATATAATAAACACACACAAATATCTATATATATCTATATATATCTATATATATCTATATCTATATCTATATATCTATATCTATATATATATATATATAAATAAAATATACATAACATGTATAATAATATAAATATAACTTTAGGTCATTTTGTTTCACTAAACAGCCATAGACCTCGTATGTGGTAAGCAGAACATGAAAGTCCTGGGTGTTCGTTTCCCTCTGGATCGCAGACCGTCTCTCTTTGTCTCCTTTGTAGCACAGCACAGTCAGAGAGGGAGCAAAGCTGCAAACAAGTTACACTGACTCAGGATAACTTGACAGAAAAAAGCTTGCAGATGGAGTGATAATAATAATATGATAATACCATTCCAGCTCCTTCTTCCAGTTCTCCAGAACAGAGAGTGGGCTCAGGACTAAAAATGGGCCTTTGTTCCCCAGTGCTCCTGACATGTAGAGCAGCAAAGCGATTGTCTGAAGGATGAACCATTATTTGGATATTGTTATTTTTGTATAATGGCACACAACTGGCAAACACCTACCGCACACTGAGCCTATCAAAAATATTCATTTTTTTGGATGTCTCGTGCTTTTAAACCTGACAAAAATCAGTTATTGTACATAAAAATTGGTCTTTACTAAAACTAATCTAAAAAAAAAAAGTCTAATGTCACATTTTTACAAAATAAACTAAATTAGTACAATAATAATACAATACATTATTACTGTGTGGTTCTATGTATCATCCATGCATCCTTGAACTTATGGGAGGTATTGGAAGACACAACAGCAGCATCTTTTTTGAATCTTTTGCCTAAAAAGATCTAGACCCTTTTTCACTTGTGATTGTTTGGAAGCAAGTTAGGCAAAAAGAAAATGAGTTTGCTGTGAGAAAATGAATTAAATGGGGGGTAAACTCCAACCTGCATAATAGTTCAGTTGGTTAGTACTGTTACCTTGCAGCAAGGAGGTTGCAAGTTTAACTACCAGCTGGGGCGTTTTTGCAGAAAGTATGATGTTCTGCTTCGTATAGGCTTTGCCCTTTAAGGTTGTTGCTAGCGGGTTTATCCCTGCGTGCGCAACGCAGCACTGAAAACTTTAGTCCACGCCCACCTGCTGTGTGGGCCCCACCCTCGGTCAGTATAATGGGCGGCTGTGGCTGAGTGGTTAGAGCAGTCGTCCTCCAATGCAAGAGTTGGAGGTTCGAATCCACCAGCAGTTACATGCCGAAGTATCCCTGGGCAAGACACTGAACCCCTCATTGCCGCCAATGTGTGTCCCATCGGTGTATGATGCACTGATTAGTCTCTTTAGAATGATTGTTCAATAGCTTTGTAGAGATCTAGTAGAGTGCTGTGTGAATGGGTAAATGAGGGAACAGATTGTAGTGTAAAGCGCTTTGAGTATCTTTATAAGATAGAAAGGCGCTATATAGGGACAGTCCATTTATAAATTGCCCTGAGACCGGGGTTCGGCTCCCCTTTTACTTCAGCCAGCAAGCAAGCAGCATAAAGACAACTAAAGAGCAGAAGATGATGACCAGTGGAGTGATTCGCATGCGCCCAGCCTGCCGGACAGAATATATCCTCAGCTCCTGATCTGGTTCTGTTCAAAGCCAAACTGAAAAACTATTTATTTAAAAGGGCTTTTAATGCTGAACTTGTAGTATCTTAGTATTTAGCATTTTTTAATCTCTTTTACCTTCTTTTCTTCTGGTTGTGTTTTAAGTTTGCACTGATTTACTGTGCCTTGTTTTTATTTGTTTTATCTTGTAAAGCACCTTGATCAATGCAAGGCAATGTTGGAAGGTGTTATAGAAATAAAGTTTATTATTATCCTGATGCATGCTCAATAATCCAGGTAGAAAAATCCAAAAAAGTTCAATCTGGTCCTCTGGACATTCAAAAAAAAAAAAAAAAACAAAGCAAAAAAATGTAGAAACGTTTCATCTCTCATCCGAGAGACTTCCTCAGTCTGAGGTGCTGTATTCAGCTCAGTCTCTTAAATAGCACCTTCTCAGAGTGGATCAACCAGTTTTGCTGCTGACAACCAAAACCAGCTGATCACATGATCAAGAAGGACCATCAGCCTAACAATGGATCATTAGCACCTGATGGCTGTTTACTACTCACAGAGGGCTGAGTGAT